TGTGCCCGCCCCTGGATCCCTGGAAGTGTCCAAGGCCAGGCTGGATGGGGCTTGGAACAACCTGGGACAGGGGAAGGGGTGCCTGCCCATGGCAGGGGGTGGGACTGGATGACCTCTAAGGTCACCTCCAACCCAAACCATTCCATGATTTCTTGGTGAGAAGAACTGTAGCCATGGGGAGGTCCCTGCCCAGCATTTTGGGTCCAGCACCCCACCAGGGCTGTCCTGCCTGGTGTTTGAATGGATATGTCCCACCATGCCAGCTGGTCCCTCGCCCAGCTCCTGCTGAGCTCCCACCCAATCACTAATTTGGGAAAGCAAGCTACGGCCTGGCAGGGCCCCTCTGAACCAGGGTTCTGCCATGAGGGATGTTAGGAAACTCCATTATGGATCTCCCTGCCATGTGTGAAGCAGGAATGGGGGTTTTTTCCATCTTAGTGCCCAGACAGCTCCAAAGACGTGATGAACTGCAAACGACCCGCGGAGCCCATTGTCTCCAGGAGCTGGTGACAAAGCCACAGCGACCAGGCAGGGATGTCACACCCGGCTGGAAAACAATGATGCTGGAAGTGGTGGTGTGAGGCTGGGAACGGGGACAGTCCCCTTCGGGAATGGGGACAGCTCCCTTCCAGAGCTGGGGCGGGAAGGAGGCACCTATGGTGGCAATTTGGGGAGCCCAGAGTGAGTCCCCAGCCTCACGCTGCTTCAGCATGGGAGCAGTTTCACATCCCTCATCTGGAAGCACATGCTCGGGCCGTATCCATCATCCAGGCCAGAGCAGGGATGAGGGAGGAGAGCCCTTTTGTAAGTGTTGGCCGGGAGAAATATGACTTATCTTGGAGAAATGAATCATGTTTCAGCGAATGCTTCCTGCAGAAATATTTTTCTCACAGCCTTTGTTCGGGGTTTTGGCAGATCTGGAGTTTGCTGGCGTTAGCAAAAGCCATCCCTCCCACCCACTGCTCCTGGGGCTGGAGTAGGAAATAAGGAATAAAGGCAGAGGGGACGTGGAAGGCTAAATCCATCACCAGTGCCTGCAGCAGGATGTGGAGCTTAGAGGAGAATTTCAGAGGAGATCCTGGGATAAAGCCCAGCAGAGCCGGGCGCTTGGCTGCTCTTGTGGAGGTACCTGTGCTGGGCAGGCAGCTGGGAATTCCGACACTGGGACAAATCCCTGCCGGGTGCCGGGGCTTGCTGGAAATCAGTTCCTCCTTCCTCTCCTGAAAACCAGCATTTGGGAGGGGGAAAGGGCGGTGTCTCCTCTTGCTATGTGTGGTTAGCCCCAGAAAATGAAAATAAAATGAGAGAAAAAGCCGTGTTTTGACATGCAAATCAATCCCGAGCTCCTCGTCTCCCTCTCCAAAGGCTTTGACAGAGATCCTGTCTGCCTTCCCACCATTCACAAACATTGCTCTGGGTCACAGCTCGGGAGGGGAGGGAGGAAAAATGTCCATCTTGGTCCTGGAGAACTTCAAGGATTTTTCTTCCCAGTGGTAGGGAATTTTTCCTGGGAAGGCAATTTCATTCCTGGGCCTGGTAGGCTCCCTGATCATTTTAAAACAGACCCCTGAGGGGAATAAGGCCTTTAAAAGCTCCATTTGCTCCCAGTCATTTTACACAGTAACCCAAGCTGAAGTGAAGGATCTTTATTTAAATATGAATTAAGCCCCAACCTTCCCCTTTACTGCGTTATTTTCCTTTGAGGTTTACTTTGATATTATTTCAAAGTCTTGAAGCTAACAAAATGCTGGCCCATATTTAAAATGACAGGAGAGTTCTGGAAAAAGATTTAGGAGGCAACTAAAGTCTTTCAGTGCAGGGCTCCGAAACAGGACAGGAAATCATAAAAGGGCTGAGTGCACTTTACCAAGCTCCAGACAAACCCTGAGACTACAAAGGCGAGGGGAATGGCATCGAGACCACAAAGAGCATCAAGGTGCAGCTGAAAAACCTGGAATTGTTCCGTTAAAACGCGGGCAGAATGCTGGCAACAGTGGAATCATGGAACCATGGAATGGCTTGGGTTGCAGGGTGGTTGAAGATCACCCCATCCCAGCCCTGCCGTGGGCAGGGACACCTTCCACCATCCCAGGCTCCTCCAAGCCCCAAAGTCCAACCTGGCCTTGGGCACTCGCAGGGATTCCAGCCACAGTTTCTCTGCCAGGGCCTCAGCCTGTGGAGTTTGTTTCTTTTTGTGGTTTAGTTGAGCAGATTTTGCCCGCTTTGGTGCTGCTGAGACACAAATGTGTGATTTTTAATGTAAAGCACAGAGGCCGTGTCTGAGTGACAAAGGGTGGGCTGTGTCCTCCTGGGGCTGACTTCTCCTTTTGCTTCCCATCTCTTCCCAGCCATCCCTCTGCTGCTGGAGCAGCTTTTGTCTGCCTGAAGCATCACAGAACCCTTTAGGCTGGACAAGCCCTCTGGGAGCAGAGTTCATCCATTCCCCCAGCACTGCCAAGGCCACCAATAATTCCTGTCCCCAAGCACCACACCCAAGAGGGTTTTAAATCCGCCCAGGGCTGGTGAGTTTTACTTTCACCTCGCTCCTGATTTCAGTTTTTATCTTTCTGCCCAAGCCCGATTCAGGTCCCTTTGTCACTGCACTTTCCAAGAGCAGGAAGCAGAGGATTTATCCTTGTCCTGAGCACGCAGCTGCACGTGGGTGCTCCCTCCTCTCCCAGGTTTGTGTGGGATGCAGCTCCCCCAGCCAAGATCTCCGTGCTGAGGTGACACTGACCTCTCTTTGCTGTCACCCTGCAAGGGGGGGGCTGGATTTGCCATCCCAGGAACGGTGCCTGGGTGGTCCCAGCCAAAGCAGCACTTCCAAGTTTCCAAGGATCTCTGGGAAAAGTCGTCAGGGCTCCCCCCTTGCCCCATCCCTCCCTGCTGTCAGCACTCCTTGGTTTTGTGTGGAAACGGGGTGGCCTTGGGGGTAGCCAGGGAGAAGGGGTAGGACTGGGGGTTGGATTTGTTTGGGGATTTTTTTTACAGTTATTATTTTTTCATGTGGACTTTGGCTGAAAATGCAAAAACCTTTCTTCCCTTCCCCCCTTTTAGAAATGGAGGGGTCAGAGGTGCTAAGCTGAGCTGGGATTGAGTAAAAAATTATTTTTAAAAAACCCCAAATCAGTGAATTTTACATCCTCACCTCAGTGCTTGGCTTCTTTCCAGTGAGTATTTTGCTTTGTGGTTTGCTGGAATAGTTTGTACTGGTTTATGGGGTTTTTTGTAGCCTTTCATGTGCACAGAGACCAAGAAATCCAGGATCAATATTTAGCCAGGCTCCACGTGGGCGTGTGTGCTGCCATGGAGGAGAAATCCCATTGTTGGGACTCATCTGATCCTGCTGTTTTCAGGGATTTCTTGCTTTAATCCTCTTCTGCACAAGCCACCCTGCCCCTGCCCTTGGTGACATCCCTTAATCTCTCACAGGGTGTTGTGGCACCACAGGTGGGATTGGGAAGGACAATTTCAATCCCCTTGGGAATTAGGGGTGATAAATGCCATTGGAAAAGACTCTTGTGTATGGAAAAGAAAATTTAGACATCCATGTGCTGCCCATGAGGACACAGCTGCAGTTTGGGGTCTGAGTGCCCAGCTCATGCCAGACAAACTCCAATCACACAAAAAGCCTTCCCAGCAGCTGATGGAATTGTCTGCCTCCTTCTTCATGGAGTCAGGTGTGTTTGCTGTTAAGAATCTGTCACCAGGAGAGTTCACAGCTCCCAAACTTTTTGGAGCATTTTATGGCCTTGGTTCTCCTCAGGAACTGAATGCACCCATCTGAACCCCATAGCAGGGCTCTCTCCTGCTAATTTGAACATTTTCTGTCTAAAAGCAAATGTTGTGTCCTAATTCCAGGCTGCAAATTTACCTCTCCCAGGCCATACAGCCACAGGAGCCTCAGCTGACCCCCAGAATTCATGGAAGAGGTTCCAAAGGTGCTTGTGAGCATTGATGTTTGTTCACAGTTGCAGGGAGGGGTCGAAGGCTTTGATCTCCAGTGACAGATCCTTAAATCCATGGCACTGGAGCTTGGGGGAAGCAGCCCTGATTCTCTGCAGCAGCGAGGAAGGCACATGGCACAGATCCTTGGGAAAATCCAGCCGTGTCTTCTGCTCCTGAGCACCTCGTGGCGCAGCAGAGCTGCACCACAGGCTCCCTGCCATGCCCTCAGAAAAGCTGGATTTGGATTTTGGTGCCAGTGCCTGAAAAAACGTCACTTCTTTTGGTGAAATGACAGCCTGGAGCACGGTTAGAGGTTCCCAAAATTGCAGTAACTGATGTGAAACCACACATTCCTCGGGGGCGGGGGGGGAGTAATCCTGTGTGCTGCGTGCTCTGACAGCTGTTAAATTCACCTTCTTAAATGGTGTTTTTGGCTCTGCTGGTACCCAGGGCCCAGACTGAGATGTCATTTACTTTTAAGTAAGAGCTTCTAATGGATGTGATGGATTTTCCTCCACGCAACGGGGCTTGTTTTAAAATAAACACTTGACATTGGGGCTCAGAAAGCTATCAGGGCATTAATGCATCTGATGCACACACAGAGAGGGTCGTGATTTGGCATGTTAAAATGTTTTCCCCCGAAGCTGGTGTGGATGGAATGACATGATTTATTTTTTAATGGCCCTAGACACCACAGCAGGGAGTTTTTGTTGGGTTTTTGTTTAGTTTTGTTTTTTCTTTTTTTTCTTACCATGGTTGATGAGGAGAAAAGGTCATTTGGGAAAATTTTGCCCCATGTTTCCAGATCCTGGTCTAGTGGAAGGTGTTGGGTTTTAAGGTCCATTCCAAGCCAAACCATCCTGCAGACATCAGCCCGGACAAGTGATGCTCACACCCTCTGCACCCCCTCTCCCCACTCCCTGGAAAAGGGTTTTTAGCCAAATTTCTGAGTGTCAAAACATTGTGGGGCACAAGGAAGAGTCTCAGCCTCTGCTGGGGGCTGTGGAGTTGAAAACATAAATCCCAAACCCTCGGTAGCTGCATGACATCTTTATTTTTACTGGCAAGAGAAGCAGTATACACAGCGACATTGCAGTCTCTTAGCTCGTTAAAAATATCTCAATAAATAAAACAAATAAGCAACATATACACTGGAACAGAAAATGAAAACAAAAAAGAAAATTTTTAAAAAATAAAAAAAGGGGGAAGGGGATGAGCGGTAGCAAATCATGGAGCAATAAGGGAGAGGTGGCAGAGTGTGGAGGGCAGTCTGTAATCCAGGCTGTACTTGAAACAATTCATGCAGGGAGCTGGGGGCATAGTGGGCTTTTTTCCTTCTTTTCCTCTTTTTGCTGAGAGCCTTGGTCCAGTTTTGCCATGACTGTACAAGAAATCAGGTTTGGAATGTTAAAAAAAAAAAAAAAAAAAGAAGAAGCATACAGTTAAGGGGAAGTAAAACTCGAACCCAAAGATGCCTCATAAATGTGTTCCTGAATTAAGATTGCTTCCAGAAAAAAAAAACAACCCAAAAAATTAGCGATAAAACGATAAAACATCAAACGCACAGACAGACAGACAGACACAAAATCCCAACAGCAATGAACAACCAGGAATGTTGCTTTTCCTCTCTTTGGTCAGTCGTTCTGGGGAGAGATGTTGCAAAGCCTCAGCCCCTTCTCTTCGGTGCTGTTTTGCTACTCAGTCTAAAATGCTCTGCAAGAGTTCAGAGCAAGGGAGGTCAAGAGGGGTCTTTTGGACCAGTTTTCTTGAGGTTTGTAAGGTTTCAGAAGCTACAAACTTGGATATATCCCAATTCCACTTCAGTCGCAGACACTGGACAGTCTGGAGAAAAGGGGAAAAAAAAAAGAAAAGAGAAGAAAAATAAATACACCAAATTCAGGACATCTTTCTGAGCTAGGTTGTGTGGGAAGGGCTTTTTCCCTACAAATCCAGGCTGTGGTTCATCACCAGGTGTTGAATCCTGCCCCTGGTTCCAGCAGTGTGGAGTTAATCCAGGCACTGGGCAAGATCCGGTGTGCCAGGAGCAAGTGGAAGCACAATTCCTTCGGCTTTTGGATAGACAGCCTAAATTCCGAGTCTGGTAATGCCACAGCCTGGAGTTTAAAATGGTAAATCCCTAGGCAGGAGCAATGTATCCATCACAACATCACAGAATCCCAGAATGGTTTGGGTTGCAAAGGACATTAAAGCTCATCTCATTCCTCCCCCCTTCACAACTTCCACTACCCCAGGTTGCTCCAGCCTGGCACGGAACAGTTCCAGGAGCAGGGTAAATTCTGTGGGACAAACTTCATGACCCAGCAGTGCCCTTGGGATCCCCCATCCTGCTCGGGGCAGGGATGGCTTTGCAGGCAAGGTGCTGTTCCTGCTTCAGCAAAGCCACCTCAGCTCAGATATCAAAAAGCAGATATAATTATTTCCTCCCACTCAGGAAAGCTTCCATTTAGCTGATTTCCTTTCCTTTCCCTCTCCAAGTTATTAATTATCTAATTACAACCACATTCTGCAGACCAGCTCAGGGACTTGTCAGGCTGCCCAGGACCACTCAGGAGAGCTCCACCTCTCCCGGTGGTTTGGGGATGCCCATGTCTGACAGATGACAGACTGACCCTTTCCCCATCCAGGGAGGGCTCCAGCAAAGGAAAATAAAATCCAGGGAGGACGAAGATACCACGGAGCAATTTGCTGATTTTATTTTTTCCAGCCAGCAGAAGAAAGGGTGGAGGATGGTCACACGAGGTTTTGCTGTGCCCTGATCTTCTCTGAATATGGCTGACACAAAGACGAGGTAAAACCAGATAAAAAGCTGGTCTAGTTCCAGGGATTTTTTAAAATCCCACCCAAGAGCAGAGAGCTCAGCACAAAGCTGCTCCCAGGGCAGAGCTGACGTCTTTAACCCTGGCTGAGACCCCCTGCTCTGGCTGCTGCTGCCCTGGGGCCTTTCCTTCCCACTGGTTCTTTCTGGTTTCCAGTTCCAGCTGCAGAACTGGGAATTCCACAGCACTTCGGTGCTAAAGGGCTGATTTTCCTCCCTGTTATGGTGAGGGCATGGTGATGGCCTGCCCTGTGGATTGTAGATTTTCCAGAGCTCTGGGATGGCTCTGCCACATTCCACCTCGTGCTGGTTCTGTGGAACTGGATTGGCTTTTCTGAGGTGTGTTTTGACCCAAACTGTGCTGTGCTTCTCTGAAATCACACTTTGAAATCACACTCTGAAATCAGACTCTGAAATCACACTCTGAAATTAGGCTCTGGAATCAAACTCTGAATCGGGCTTGTGATCCTCACGTCAGCAGCCTGGCCCTGCTCGCTGCAGTTCAGCTATTGCAGGGGGAAGGAAGGGCTGAGGAGGAGGGAAAATGCCCCAAAAACCTCTGTGAGCCATCCAAGCTGGCCGTGCACATTTCCAGGGATGGGAACTGCTTTCTCCTGGGACTTCTTGGGGATTTCCAAGCATTTCCCTTACCCTAACACCGAACCCAGTTGTGATGCCCTGCCACAGCACAGCTTCCTCTGTCTGAGGCCTTGCTGGTCCATTTTTCCCTGGTTTTGAAGCATTTCCCAGCCCCACCAGGAGCATTCCCCAGCCCAGCATGGATGTCACAGGAGTAGGGAGCTGCTGGCCTGATGGAAGGTGGCAGCAGGAGCACGGCCCTGGCTGCAGGAAATTTCACAACAGGTCCCCCAGGCCTTTGCTTATATGGGATTGGGGTGGGTTTGGTTACAAAAGGATTGAAATAATTTCCGTGACATGGCCGAGAGTGCAGATGAAATGTGAAATGCAGGAAAAATGCTGGAGTTTGTTTGGGTTTTTTGGTTTTGGTGGGTTTTGCTGGTGCTTCTTTTTTTTTTTTTTTTTTTTTTTTAAGGTAACTTTTGCAATTTCTTTTAAAGTTGAGGGTGTATAAAAACGGCTCTGCCCCCAGGGCCTTTTTTGTTTTCTCGCCCTACATCCCAGGCACATTTTAGGGTGAACAGGGAAGGAGAAATCCCATGTGGGGTTGGTTCTTCTCAAAGGTAAAGCCTGAACAAGATGGGAGAGAGCAAACACATCAAGGTGAGGAAAATGTGGCATTCATAGAATCCCAGAATGGTTTGGGCTGGGAGGGATCATAAGGTCCATCCTGTTCCATCCCTGCCATGGTCAGGAATGCCTTCTACTATCCCAGGCTGCTGCAAGCCCTATCCTTAAACACTTCCAGGGATCCAGGGGCAGCCACAGCTCCTCTGGGCACCCTCTGCCAGGGCCTCACCACACTCAGAGTGAGGAATTTTCTTCCTCACTGAATCTCTCCTCTTTCTAGTGTAAAAAATTATTCTGGAATAGCCTCACCAGTAGCTTCAAACAATGATGGGTTACAGCACAAAAGGTGATGCTCCTGCTTCAGGAAATCACTAAAATCCCATTCCTGAGCTCAGGAGCCATCATTCCTAGCTGTTTTGGGAATAGCTCCTCTAAAAAGCCCTGTGGCACAGATCAATCAGAAGATCCATGGTCAGGTTTGGACACTTGGCCTCCAAGCATCCCATGGGGTGTGATCCACTCAAAAACCTCCCAAAACCTTTGCTGCCTGAGCTCAAAATTTTCCATGCCCAATGGTGGATTCCTTTCTTGCCATTGTTTTTGTCTTGTGGGCAAATAAAAAAAACAGCCCAGCTGTTTCAGGGTATGGGGAGAGTGGGAAACTGCCAAAATTGCTGATGGCATCCCCATGACTGGGAGAATCACTGCTGAAGGGATGTTCCCAAATTATTTAATGGAATTTTCAGCTGTCCTTGGAGCCAGAATAGATAGTAGCCACTCCACAGGGTGGTTTGGGCTGGAAGGGACCTTAAAGCTCATCCCATTCCATGGGCAGGGACACCTTCCATCAGACCAGGTTGCTCAGAGCCCCGTCCAATCTAACCTTGCTTAAATTCAAATTGCTCAAATTCATTTAAATTTAAGATTGTTTAATTAAAATATAAACCTGTTTCAATTTAAGCCTGTCTTTGTTCACATGTAAAACCATTTCATGATTTGGATGGTGAAAAAAAAAACAAAAAGGCAGCAGAATTCCCTTGATTTTTTGGGATAAAAGGCTAAACCCAGCAGAAATCCCTTGATTTCCATGAGCCAGGAAAGGAGGGAGCCCTGGAAAAGGCAGCAGGACCAGGCTGCAAGGCTTCAGAGGGGAGGAAGCAGCAGAGAAAGGAATTCAGATAATTGTGTCCGTGCGAGGGGGTGGAGAGAGGGCCAAAATCAGATCGAGTGCTGCGGGTAGGGACAGACTGAAACCAGATCCCCTGGCTCGGGCTGTGCTGCCTCTGCTGCTCTACCCTTATCAACCCCCCGCTCTTGAAGTCTCCCAGATGAAGGGAAAGCCACAATTATGTGCATCTTACAGCTGGGAAACCATTTCAAAAGACATCCCTGGCAGAGGCTCATTCCTGAGCCCCAGGGCCCCCCTTGGACCCTCTCTCTGACTCGGCCCAGCCTTTGCAGAGCTTGGGGGATTTATCTGCCCCTGGCTGGTTGGAGGTGGAACATCCTCCCTGTATCCTGCAGCTCCCCAGTTTGTTACCAGGAGCATTTTGATGGGTGTGTGGCATGAGGAAATGGAGACTAGAGCCTTGTTTCCTCCCCCTGGGGCTGTTTCTCCCTCTCCAAACCCTCTTGTGCATCCACTGCATGGCTTGCTGACACCTCACTGTGCAGGGAGAACGGAGGATCCTGAAGGGATGATGCCACAAGAAGAAGCCAAGGGGACAGCCCCAGTCCTTCCTGCCTGGGTCTGCAGGATGGAACACAGCCACGAGGTTAGGGACTGGACAGTTGTGAGTGCTCCTCTCACTTATTGCCAGAAATGGCTCTGTAATTTTGCTTTACATACTTTTTTCCCCTCACACACCTGCAGAAAGGGTTATTGGTGTCCATAGAATCCCAGAATTGTTTGGGTTGGAAGGGACCTTAAAGCCCATCTCATTTCACCCACCCAATCTGGCCTTGAATGGAAAGAACCTCTCGAGAAGAAGAGAGGGATGCTCACCAAGGAGAGGAATTCAATGGCTTCTACCTGCGGGCTCAACAACTTCCCATGAAAAAAACTTTGGGGCCCAAAGCACCTAGAAGGAGCCAATTCTTCAACATTTCAGGTTGCTGCCCAGCTAAAATCAGTCTTGTGGGCCTGTGCTCACCACAGGGAGGAGAAGGGAATGCTGACAAGTGAAGCATTTTGCTGCTGGGATGCTCAGATGTTCTCTGTTAGGTTCTGCCTCCCTGCAGCAATATTTGGGCAGCCAGGAATGTTGGCCCCAAGGTGCTGCATCCCTCTGTCACCAGAAAGTTAAAACAAATATAAAAACAGCTTTAAACCAACATTTAAAAAAAAGCTTTAAACAGAAAAGGTGCATTTCCCCCAGCTCTGCACTCCTCCACAGGCCGAGCAGGGCTGGTGGCAGCTGGAGGAGGAGGAGGAGGAGGCAGGTTTGTGGGAGCCCCCTTTTTGAAAACCTTGGCAGCACATCACTAGAATGGCAGCTCGGAATTGCCGAGGGGCGGAAGCCACTAATGAGCAGCGGGAGCAGGGAAAAGCAGCGGAGCTGCCCCGGGTTCGGGAGTGAGCCAGGAGCTGCCCGGCTGCCTGGTGGGTGGCGGGGGGAACCAGCACTGAGGGACACCAGCGGCATCTCCTGAGCCAGGGCTGGGGCACAGAGGTGGACCCCAACAGCCCTCCTGGCTAGCGGAGCTCATCATCGCTTTCTTTGGCTCAAATCCACTGCCCCACACAAGGCAGGTGTGGAACAAAGAGGGAAAAAGGCAGGGAATGAGGTGTTCTCCT